CTAAACATTTGATTATTTGAATGTTCGAATTATTAAATGATATTTTATTTTAATGTTGTTTTCGTTTTTCAACAGAGATAGTGGAATATTTTATGTAGTCACTGGATAGTTTTTTTGTCACGTCATATAATATGAATTTTGTTTTCCGTGGTTGGCAAAATTCTGAAATACTATTGTTTTAAATCCGGTGGCGCCCGATTCAACATCAAATTTTTTAGTTTCCTTCTATTCACGACCCAAAGAAGCTTCCTGACTAAGAGCTCCGTGCAAGTGTACCATTTGATAAAAAAAAAGGTTACAACATCGAAGTGAGAAATTGGACCAATTCTTCAAATAAATCATTTTAAAACATTTCTGAGTCGTTATCGCTAACAAACTCACTGAGTGACGTAAAACTTTATATTTCTCTCACCAATGCAAATAATCCAAAAATCTAATTTTCTTTTGGAGGCTGTTATTTTATTACAGGCATGGAACACTGTTTACCTTCTGTTTTTCTGTTTTGAAAACTGTTTTTCCGATAACCAGCTGTCGCACCCCTACGAACGACAACCCACATAAGTCCAAACTTGTGTGAGATAAGGACTATCGAAGTCTCAACTTTTATATCAGAAATTATTCCACCATTGTGAGATTGTATTCTTTGTTATTATTTGATTCAATTTTTGTCTCTAAATAGTTCTTCTTTTCCTGTCTTATTGTTTCCACAGCTATATTTTTTTTGTTTATTTACTTCTCCCAATTCTCCGTTATTTTATTGATTGTATAGTGTTTGTAACTTAAATTCCTGTGTTTTGTTTTGTAGCTTGCCTCACCTTCTCATTCCGGAATTATTATAATGTCCAAAGATCTTGATGGTTTCTTCGAAGGGACTTCATTCAATATTGACAATACATTATTCAAAGCTTGTTCACATCAATGATTCAACTCCCTCTCTGTGTAGTTCCACTAAATAAGTTTTAGTTTTGATTCAATTTGTTCATAATCAATGTTTTTTCCCTAGTTTCAATTTTAAATGTTTATGTGTCTGTTTGTAGAATGTTTAGTAATGCTATTTTTATATTACGGTGTGTACTTATTTTTGGTGAATCAAATACAGTAGCATCTATGTCAGTAGTCGTGAAAACTTGATCTATCATTGACCCTTCTGTAGCAGTTAAGTTCAAAAAACCCACGTCATCCATAAAGTTCTTCAGTCTTATAGTATTTGTATTTGATTCCAAACCATTCAAATTGAAATCACCAAAAATTATTATTCTAGAATTTTTTTCAGTTACATTTTCTTCGCACCATCTTCAAACAATTTCAAAAATCGTGTTGTACTACTATTGGGAGACCTGTATAAAAAACGACAATATAAGTTTTTCTTTGAAAATACACCAATACTCCCGTTAACTTTTGAAATAACTACCATCATTAGTGACAACAATTTTAAATTACGGTCCTGTCATTACTTCTTTTGTAAATTGTTTTGATTTATTCAAAATATAATTCAGACAATCCAATAAATTCGTAGGTAGGTAACCTAAAACAATGAAAATTCGTATTATTTCGTTTTGTAAATTTTTGTATTGCCGTAGGTAATCCTTCTTTCAAGGCTTATTTCTCCCTAATCAATTTTAATTCGTAATATTTTCATATTTGTCAATCCTGGAAGTAGCGAAAATATCAGTTTTTGGTCGAAATTTGTTTGTTGTATAATTTGGTATGATCAAATAGCTTCTCAATTCATTTACCATCTCAAATGCATAGGCTTTGCTTGGTTTCTATGGCAGGAAAAATTAATGCGATGTTGATATCTGTTGAGAACTGTCAGACGATTATGTACATATCAAAGATGTATTCAAATAATCAAAGGAGTTATATGCTATTTAGTTATGCAAAATCAAATAGAAATCCTCTTTTGGCAAGGAATATGTATGTTGAGCTATACCCGAATCGTCGTATCCCAAACATCCAAATGTTTAGATGATTAGAAAGACATTTGAGGGACTATGGTGCATTTGACAGATGTTGAGCTTTACCCGAACCTACAACTTATGTGCATTCAACAAAGAGGTCATCAATTCCAGAATTTAATGTAGGTTGCCACGTAGCTTTGATTTTCGGTATTGGTTTCATTTTTCCCAGAAGTTCATGATAAAATAAATTGTTTTTCTGTTTGGTTGTTGTCACTTATGATGGTTATTATTTTAAATGAAACGCTATGAAAATATAAAATGTGGATTGTGAATTTATCGCTTTATCAATATCTGTAATAAAAAAGACAGGTTCTTATTAAAAAAAAGTTGATGGTGGCCATGTTGACACGAAACGTTTTATCGAATTTTCATTATCACATCGTCATGGTACACTTCGAAAACAATAACATTTTTTTCTTTTCTTTGGTACTCTTTCAAATAACAATTCCATGGGAAAAAAGGGAAAACAGCATTTTGCTTTTCCCCATATACCTCGAGAAAGGCGAGAGTCCTCGTGAATTTTCTTCGACCATTGTATTGTTCCCGATGACAGTTACTTTTTTTCCTATTCAATCGTCTTCGTATCTGTTATGGTTTAGAATATAGCACTGTTATCACATGATGAAAGAAACGGCCTTTCTATACTAAACTATAGGTTTTCTATACTAATTTTTCTTTCTCTTTTTGAGCGTATATGATCTATGTCATGTATCTAACAGATATAAAATAATATCAGTTGCAATATTATTTACCAGTTATTCACTGGGAACTATTTGTGATTTCCGTGTGTAGGATTTACATCGAGTGTGATGAGTACAAATTGTATTGCTAGTTACCATTTGAATTTTAACGATTATCAATAAAAAAGTTCAATATCAGATATAGCTGGAGATCGCGAATTCAATATTAGGAAATTGTTTTTGAAATACAAATCCGTATTTGAGGGTGGCCCAAGTCAGAGAGCACCATGTATAAAAATTCTATGAACAAAATCTCATAGTTAATTGAATGTTCTTGTGACAAATGGTCGAAAGTTAACAGAAATTGAAGTGAATCCTTGTACCTTGAATACCGTTTGGAAATAATATCTGCTTCCTCCGAAGTTGAGGTTACTGGTTGGCCTTTTTCTCACCAAAACGGCAGAGGTGAATTCCGTTCCATTTTGACCATTGGTCACAAAACAATGGAAAATCGAAAACACTATAAAATACTTCCACATATTCAACGCACCACTAATTGAGTCGATTGAAGTTTATACAACTATGAAATAAAGGGGAATTACAATATCTTCTTGTTATCGTAAAAAGATGACGTGAAGGTTAGTCATTGAAATTGTCGGTCAATAAGTATCCTGTGCTCGTAACAATGATTTACATTTTACTAACTTCTAAGTAACAATCTGTTATTAATGTAGATGAATCAATTGAATTCAGGCTGTATGGCGATTTTAAGTGAATTGTGTTTGAAATTACTTGATTTTGAAGTAATGAAACCACAAAACCTGAATGGATATCAATTGAAGAACCAAAATCTTCGACGATTTCATAACGACGCTAATATATACACAAGTGGTTGTGTATGGTAATCTTTTTTTTGTTAAGCTGTACTTTCCTATTCGTTCTAGAATCTCAAAAGAGTGGAGTATTTGAAAGAAATGAGACCCATTTCCGTAAAATTCATTGCTTTGAACTACTGAACCATTACAGAAACGTGTAAGTCACTCCCAAAGATCTTTGCAGCTGTGGAGTTCTTTAAAAACATGACAATTTTCACCATTCAATCTGACCTGGCCTCGTGAAGGCTAAAACCACTTGAAAGTAAATCATTCGATAACTTTCGAGGACACTGAAAGGGGTGTGAACACCAAAACCATTGAATCTTCTGGGATGCACGCAAAGACGGCCACAGTTTTGAATGGACGCTACAAAGCGCACATTCCGGGAAATCTTGCGCGATAGATACATGTTTTGTTAAAGATGTGACCAACTCAACTCAAACAGAACAGAGAAAATAGTCAGATTAGCCGGTAAACTTAACGACGGCAAAAATTCCTCTGAAGAGACAAATGACGTTCATGTGGCTGATGAAGAAGAATATTCGGACTTAGAAACCGGCTTATAAATTTTCTTTATTACAAAAATGGCCCTTTACAGGACCGCTGGTTTTTTTCTGAAGAATTTGTATAGCAATGAGAATGATGATGAAATTGGTTGTCGAGCATACCCAAACGATGACGCAAGCGAATCGAGCAACTGTCTTCGCTTCCTTTTCGATACTAAATGGTAACCGGGTTGTTTGTTTTGGCAGTCTAACAACAATCTAGGTTTAGGATAGGTTAGTTTCTGTTGGGTTAGGTTAGGTTAGATTAAACTAGGCTAGGTAAGGTTAGGTTAGGTTAACTCCGCCATGGACTTGCATCGCATTCATGCCGGTCACAAACCCGCAAAAAGGAGGAGTGGCCTATTTTTGGGAATCCGAGCATTGCACCTCTACTACCGGCTCTTCCTAACACCGAACTAACTTTGCTTCAACTTGTCTTGAGTAAGCCCGCCTATCTCTCTCTTTAGTCTATGACCTATCGGTCTTCCTTGACCAACCCTTATTCTCTTATGACACCGACGCTATCAAGTTATTGGAGGGCTAGGGGTCTTTCTTCTCTGTTACAGTCTTCGCCCAGGGAGTAAACTCTTCCAAAAATCCGAAACTTAAGGTGTCATGCGACCCGTGTCGAGAGGTGAATGGAGGCGATATATGGTCACGAACGGAGCCACCTGAAAGATGACGACCTCCCTGGAAAGATAGCTACTCGTGGGAGCAGAGGAGGTAGGAAAAAATTACACCAGAAGACAGGATGCCGAGTCCGAGAGTGAAAAGCAGGAGAGACGAAGAAAGGAGAGTGAGGAGATAGAGAAATACGAAAAGTTACTCCTAAGCCAACATAGTCGATAACTCTCCATAGAGAACTTCCCCCTCCCCCCCCCCGTCAGGAAACATGAAAAAGGCAACCTACAAAAAAAGTATGACACTGTCATGAAGCTCAGCCAGCTGAGAAAGCAATGAAAAAAACATTCGACAGAGGAAATGATCTTCTGGGGCTGATAAGAATGATGCCAAATACAAAAGTAGAAATTAAAAAATCAGGAAGTGAATGAAAACGTAGCCATTGTTGAAATATCTTGCAAGGAGTCTACAGAGAAAAAAAGAACCAACCCTTCCGGCCAGAAAAGAAACAAGGTAGATAGAAACGCAAGTAAATCATCCCACGCACGAAGATGATATACAAACCGCGATGAAGGTCCCGAAAATCATTATGCGAAAGGAGCAAGTATACACTACGGGTGCAGAAACGCAAACGTGGGATGTTATCAAAGAAGGAAAACTGGAAACACTGGAAGGAATCGATTCACTGTTGAGTTTCAAACTGGTGGAAGATAAAGAATGGGATGGAAGCATACTCACTCACACTAAAATACCGGTAGGCAACCCACTGAATACATCAGCCGAAATACCTAAAGTCTTTATCACAAAACCAAGAGACAAGAAAATGGAAAAGAGTATCCAAAGACTCTATGAAGATAAATACCCGAAGCTAGTTGAACTTAAAGATGAAGTAGAGGTAATCGAGCAAATAACAAAAATAAAAACGAAACCGCCTAGGGAAATTAAAAAAAATGTATTAAGATAAAACACGACGGGACAGACGAAGGATTATGGAGAGCGTTCCATAAACTGAGAGGCAAGACAGATACTGATAACGAAATAGCTATGCATCAACTAGAGGGAATGCCAGTTGAGAGACTACAGAGGATGATAGAAACTGTATTCCACGATACGCACACAGTGGCTACCATATATACCTCTGACCAATTAACAAGAAACTCAAGAACATGGAATACTTACGCTCAGATAGTAGAAGGAGAAAATAAAAGTTACAAGGGAATGCTAAATACGGTTAAAAAACAACATACAACAATCCGGCAAGCAGCGCCATCTGAAGCTTGAGGAGCAAAAAAGACGGCAATCTACTCATAACCATGGATAAAAATGAAGCGGCCCTCGGCGAGCTATGAAAGGCTTTGAAAAACTCATCCGAACCTCAAAATATAAAACAAATAGGAATGAATAAAAAAAACGCAGTACTACATCTGAGAGAAATGGACGTGGATACAACCGAGGCAGAAGTAATAAATGCAAATGAGGAGATAGTAGAATGGGAAGAAGACACCTGCCGGAAAATGTTCCGGCGTCGACAGAACAAAATACTGTGACAAATGCGGAAAACTAAACAACTCAGTCAAGGTATGTGCAAATGAAGAGGAATGTCCCATCTGCGAAGAAAAAGGGCACACAGCACGAAAAATTAAATGTCCTGTATATAAAAGAGCCTTCAACAAAACGAGAAGGCAGGAACAGAAAACAAGAAGAAATAAATTGACAGAGAAATACACCTTTCAAATGTATCTGAGAACAGCAATCACAAAAACAAGGAAGACAAGAAACGAAGCTCAGAGGAAATGGTTAACGAAAATTGAGAAGAAATGGAGCCTGTATTAGTGGCATCAGAACATCTGAGCCATATTGATAGAGATAACTAAAAGCAAGATGCCCAAAGTCCTACAGTGCAATCTGGGAAGAGCAAGGGCAGCACACGATATCGCCGATATAATAGCATATGAAAACAAACGCTATATAATGGCAATGAGAAAAAACCAAATGAGAAGATGGAGTAGACAGAAACTATATCAGAGATATAAATGCGGATATCGTCATCAAAATAATTAACCAAAACTTACAGACCCGAAAAAATTCTTCGATAAAATAGCAACACAAATACTCGTGAATAGAAGGGAAATAGTCATTCTAGGAGATTACTACGCCAAGTCACCGTTCACCGCAAACGGATGTTTGCGGCGAACACATTGAAGAATGGGCTGTTACCCTAAAACTAGTATTTATGAACACGGGAACCACACCCACTTTCCAAAGAGGAAAATATAAATCGTCCAAAGATATATCTGCGGCAATACAAAACATCCCAACAAATATCAAGGATTGAAAAAAATCGAGGGACAGCTGTTCACGCTTCACAATCACATTGTATTTTCAACGAACGGGACCAAGAGCAACAATCCCAAAGTGAACCACACTCAGATATTTTTCAATGACAAAAAATTTCAGAAAAAAATCAAGGAGGATCCACTTCCGCAACATAGAACACTGTCTCACGAAAGTAATAAGGAACACAGTGAAAAAGCCCCAGGTGAGAGTAGTGAAAAATAATAGGCCATACTGGTGGACAGCAGAAGTGGAGGATTCGAGGAACATAATTTAACAAGACCAAAAGAACACACTGGAAAAACCTGTGCACAAAACTGGGCGGCGATATATGGGGACGAGCGTACAAAATAGCCACGAGACACCTGTGGAAACTAACTCCGTCCCACAGACTCAACCCCGAAAAGAAACCGGAATATGCCAAGGAATGGGTCAATTGAGGCTGGGCTACATGTGGCCTAAGTGCGTGGGCTTACACTCACCCTCCCTACTCTACAGATACAGATGCCAAGGTACTTTTTCCAGAAAGAAGAAACCAAACCAAGATGCCGGAAACTGAAATATTACAAATGCCTCCACTACCGTTTACCACGGAGGAAATTGGCAATGCATTGAAGAAAATGAAAAATAGGAAAGCGCCAGGACCCGACGTAATACCGGTAGAAGCAATTAAGATTCTCAGAAAAGTATGTCTAAATGTTCTCCTACAACTGTTAAACAACATGTTCGTATGCCAGAAATTTTCTCAGCAGTGTGCAGAGGCAAAACTAGTACTACTATGGAAAGGGAAAGAACTGGAAGGCGCTGTGGGATACAGAGCGATTTGTCTCCTTAATGTAATGGGAAAACTATACGAAATCATCATAGTTGAAAGATTAGTGCAAGCAATATTTCTATTAGGAAGAGGAAATATAGCTGAGAATCAGTTTGGTTTTATAACAGGCAGATCAACGGTGATAGCTGCTGGTAAGATAGTGGACATCGCTAGGAACTCAAAAGAAAAGTGGGTGGCGATAATCACGCTGGACGTGAAAAATGCAAGAAAATAATCATTACGAATAACCTAAGTCACACACAAACACTGGGCATTCCCCAGGGTTCCGTACTCGGACCACTGCTGTGGAACGTGTTATATGACGATGTCATCCATATCGCTTGACCAGACGGGGTTGAACTTATTGCATACGCATACGTGTCATGATCAGAGCAGATGATAT